CACGATTTTAGCCGCTCTTCGCTAGATGCTGTCAATTGGAAGAAGCTGGTACTGGGGTGCCCCGATCCATAGATGAAAACAGTACTCAATGTGAAGGCGAACTTGTGCCTTGTAAAGTTGCAACCGGTGTGGTGGCATGAAATACTGTCCCGCTCTGCTGAGCACGTGAAGCTTTTTAGAGGCCAATTTAGCCTTCCTTTCCAAGAGACAGCGGAACTGTACGTCATTTAGTATGTCTATGCCGAGGATTCCGATGCAGCATGGGGAGTGTCCTGAAATTGAGTAGATACGACAAAGGGGTTCTTTTAAGTGGTAAATGTGAAAACCTGTATCTTGTGAAGTTTGAACTGGACTAGCATCGTCCCCCAATCATAGGTTTTGACTCGACTTCAGACACAAGCTTGTTCCGATAATCCATAACGTATTCCCGAGAAATATTTGCACAGCAAGTGTATAAAGCATCACTAGTGTTACAACCAGTATCAACAACATTTAATTGATATACAGTAGAAACAGCGTAGGTGATAGCAAACCTTGTGGAACATTAGCATTAATATGCTTGTAGTTGAAGTATGAACCATCTACTACGACCGTGATGTTCCAATCTGCAGGAAAACTGAAGGAATCTCATAGGAAGGAAGCTTCTAAAGAAGCGCTTTGTGCCATAGGCCTTCGCTGTGTCCAAAGTAACGACCAAGGCCTCCCTCTTAGACTCTAATGCTTCCGCTTATCTATGTCAGGTAAATTAGAAGATTAGAAAAGAAAGCGACTAGACCGCCAATACGGTCACTAATCAGATAGTGGTCCTCAAGGTACCTTATGAGCTGGCAGTTTATAATGGATTCCATTATTTTGGACAACAAGGAAGACGCGTTAACACCTGAGCTACAGGAGCACCCATCTTCAGCACAATAGGAGGAACTTCATCAGGCCCACTCGACTTGTTGACGTCTACGGAGAGGAGTGCTTTGAACACTGAGCGGTTTGTAAACCGAACGTCCCGCGTGGAGCAATCACACCGCGGAATGGTCGGCGGCGTCAGTCATGAAGTCAGTCAACGAAAGACAAAAGGTACTAATTAATTCAAAGTCTTACTTTTAAAATCTATTTCTTTCTTGTACAAGAAAATAAAGAAAGAGGAACAAGTAAAATAATACGGCACTTACTCTATTATTTATAAGGATTTTATTCTGTACATGAGTGTGCTTGCAAAAGGCAAGCTTACGCCCTTACAACTTACGAACCTTGCGCCCTTGGCTCGAGGCCTTACCCATAGGAAGATTTACCCATAAACTAGTTAGTTTATGGGTAAATCCGGCCCTGCTCAGAATTATTATAGAATGATGAAGTTTTACAGACTTCCCGGAGCGTCGATTCTTTACATCAGCTATGTATTCTTTACCGCGGGTTTTTATTTTTATTTTAGTTTGTTCTATGTCAGAGGGACTACATTTACGATCAAGTTTATACACTCCTGCATCTTGCAGAGGAATATTACACTTGACTGATGATTAAAACTGACTAATATTCTCCTGCGGCTTGAAATATTTTTGTTAATTTTTATGCACAGCCGTGGTAGCTCATATGGTGAGCACTCGCTGTAAAATTCACAGTCCGCAAGCAACCCGAGTTCTATTCCCGCAGGCACCAATGAAATTGTTAATTGCAATTTCGAGTGCTGATTTACCACGTGCTCGGCGGTGAAAGAAAACATCGTGGAGATACAAGAAAAAAATATTTCGATTTTATGTAGGTACCTTTTTAAGTACACACACCAAGATACAGAAACAGTCGTATAGTGAGTTCGTACAAAGGTTCTAAGGTTCTAAAGGAAGCTCGCTTCAAGCCAATCTTGTCAGTGACACCTCTGGCACATTGCAGTACAGCCGGCACACACTCGACTTAGGCCGGCTTCACTCGTTCACTGTGAGGTAGGCGCGGGATCCGAAGCTTGTCGTACAAAATTGCTTGACGTGTTGGAGTTCGGCAGCCGGGTGTTTACTGATTCCTCTTGCTCTCTGCACACAACTTCAAGACTTCAAGATACTATAAACTCATTCTGAGTAGATCGTGCCTAAACTTAATAATTTTAAACGGTAGGTAGCCATTACTAACTATGACACTTGGGCGTCGAACACCTCAGTCATCCCCGTAACCATGGGTACTGTAAAGTACTCGAAACGTCGAAAATATAAAATAGATATATATAATAAATCTGTAGAAAGGTCGTGTCTGTAATTCTAATATTATCTAGAAAAAACAAGTCCAGGGGACTAAACGAAGGATACTGAAGCCTGAAAACTACTGGACAGATTTCCATGAAATTTTGTGTGGAGGTAGTTAGGAACCCGGGGCTATTTATAGGCTACTTTTTATCCGATTACAGAACTTCAAAAAAGAAGGGTTAAGTATTTTCCTTCCTTTAGATGTTAATTTCTATTTTATACGATTGATGTGTTCGATTAAAATAAATAAAATATTTATAAATAAAGCCCAACATTAGTTTTAACCGTTGTGTAACAAATTGAACTATGCTTTTTCAAAACAGTGCCATCTAACTACCTAAACTAACACTAACCTACACTAACAAATTAAATTATATAGCATTTATATAGTTATTTTATTTGAAAATTCTAATGTACATTTTTTAGTTTTTCTTATTTCATTTTAGTAAATAGTAATAAATTTTATACTAACAAAGACCTCTAAAAAAGATAATAGTGACATCTATCGAAAATCATAAATTTTACGATGTTTCTAAGTTAAATTTTTAATGAATAAAAAATTTTAGTGTTTAGTTTTTTTATCTATAAATAAACTGATAAAAATTGCAATTAGTACAAAACTCTTATTATCCTTATAGTTTCAATAAAAAGATTTTTATATATGTATTGATAATATCTTAGAATTTATAATATAATAAATTAGCCGATTATTGAATAATATAATAAATTAGCCGATTATTGACCCTCAGTTAACCTGGTGCCTAAATATACCTTAATTTATCTGGTAGAGTCCGAGGGACTTCAATTCAAGAAATTGTTGATAAATTTAAAGTGAAACGACATTTTATGTTCAAAATCATTTATTTAACTAAAAAACATTATCTTCTCTTACTTTTATATAAAACTTTGGTATTAATTATCATTTGAACATTTTAGCATTCGAAAAATAAACTACCCTTGAAATTAAATTAAAAAAATTTGCTTCAACTTCTAGCTGCTATAACAATTTGAATATAAGGAATATTAATTTTTTTACTTAGAAAATACTTAAACAATCTAATGAACTTATGAAAATAGACTAAAAAAGAATACTGTTTCATATAAAAATAAAAAACGTGCAACACTTAATCTTTAGCTGTCGCAACACAATGAGTGCAAATCTTCTTCGTACATGCCAAACATACTGGCTTCATACAGGTATGGCACAAAAATGAAGTCTTTCTTTTCAGGCGTTTAGGACATATATGGCAGTATTTTCTTTGGTTTCTAGGCAATTTGTCATCTAAAACTTGTTGTTCTTCTACAAGAGGTACCTTTGTGATGTCAGATATCAACTCGCGTAGCTGACGAGGAAGTCTTTCGTTGTATTGCCGTGATTTCAAATTCATGTCATTTAGTTGCTCAGCCAATCCTTTTATGTAATTTAGACGTGTCATTTTGCTGATACCTGCTTGGCTTTTGTGAATAACATAGCTGTTCCACGCACTCATGTCCAATATGCGGAAAAAAACTGCCATTGGCCAACGTCGCGTACGTCGACTGCATGAATATACAGAGCATTTTTGGTCCACCGAATCTACGCTACTTTTTGTGTCATTATAATATTCAATAATTTCAGGCTTTAGAGTTTCTGGATTAATTATAGAATCGTGATGCATCGTAGAGTACAATATTACTGCTTTGTTTTTTTAGGCACAAAACTGACTAAAGTGCAATCTTTCGTAAATCCAAACAGTGAACTATTCAGCTCTTTGTTCTTCGCAGGTAAAAACTCTTTTGGAATGACAGCTTTATTTTTTTTCAAAGTACCTACTGTAGTCAATCCTTTATTTTTAAGTTCTTGTGAAATTTCTATTGACGAATACCAATTGTCTGTTGTTATATTTCTGTTGGTGTTAAATATTGGCTTATACAGTCTAAGTACTGCTTGAGTTGGAACAGGCTTTTTCTTATGTTCTTCTGATAATGTGTAAGAGTTAGATCCTTTTCCTGTATATATGTAAGTGTTATATACGTAGAATGTTGCAGAATCAGCTAAACATTGTACCTTCACTCCATATTTGGCTGGCTTACTGGGGATATACATTTTACACCTACACCTTCCACGAAAAGCCAGCAGCATCTCGTCAACAGTAACATAAGCACCTGGGACATACCTTGCTTGTGAGTTTTTATTGAACATTTCAAGAAATTCAGTAACAGCACAGCCTGGATCGATTATTTTTCGAGCTTCTCTATCAGTGAAATTGTCAAATCTGAGAACTAGAAGTAGTATAAGGAAACGTTTTTTAGACATAGAAACCCGAAATATAGGTCTCCCTGTTCCGTCAGTTGCAAACAACGACAATACACTTTCATGATTGGACTTAAATGCTGCACTATATAGTAACAGAGAGAGAAAACCTTTCAGTTCTATTTGGCTCGTCTCCTTGAAAGCGTATTGCTCCTTTGGTGAAATGGTCTCACGAACTATTTCCAATTTTTTATTAGTCCACTCTAAAATCGTTTCTATCATTTGATTATTATATTCTCTGTAACTAAATCAATTTGGTTTGAAGGTAAACGAAGAATATTGTGAGACTGTGTGCGGATGTTTCTTGACGGGGGTTTGCTTGACCATTTGAATCGGTTTTTTCCGTAATAATATTTAGTGCTCTCACCTGAGGTCAACACATCTTCATCATCTGAGTCAACTGAACACTCTGAGTCCGAGTCGTGATCAGAAGGTATACAGTCATCTTCAGAGTCGGATAATAGTTCTTCAGGTATCACAGCTCAAGATGGTTCAAGTGGTTGAGATTCATCGTCGGTACAATCTTCGTCATTTAGCCAGTCGAGTAGAATAGATTCAGCATTTGGTTGATCTACGCTAACTACTTGTCTATTCGAAGCCATTTTCCAGTCTAAAACAAAAAAAAACAAAAATAATAATAAGTGATATTGAAAAAAAAGTTACACAAATGCCCTGGTGGAGTCCGGCGGACTCTACTAGCTTAAAAACCCACCGATGGATGAAGCGCAGACGCACGTCCTCTCTCCCCTGCGCGTCGCACGCTACTGTATGAAGGTACTGTACTGTGACGCACAAGCCTTTGAGTGCCAAAACAAAGAAATCACAACACTTTGAAAATCGCGTGGAGTCCCTGCGACCTAACAGATCAATTAAGGGTTGTAAGTGAAATGGCGGTATTTAATAAAATTTAAGTGTTGACTATAAGATGATAAAGCTTGACCAAGTCAATGAAAAGAGATTGTTTGGCGATATTAACAACTAAACACCACATTGCTACTTCTAGATGCTATTGTTGCAAATACAAATACAAAGTCTTCATCGATATAATAATACCTTTAAACGAGCAATTCATATATATATATATATATACGTCAGATACTTATGAATGAAAATCAGTTAAAATAATGCATTACCGCACATTCTGGATTTAAAAGATAAAAGGGACAGAATGTTTGAGGTATTTTAATTAATTTTTCTTTACCATTCTCCTATATTACTTATTCTGAAGATTTTCCACAAATTTTGGAGTATATTGCAAAATAAACCCGTATTTCTTATAATCGTGATATTTAATTAATTCCCACTAGGTTACTGGTTCTTACCAGGACAAAGATTTTTCCGAACCAGTGGTAAAGGAAAAAAGTGAGTGAAAAAAATCTATTCTATTCTATTAGTACCCCTAATTATTTTCTCAGAAATCAGAGTCCATAACCGGTCAACTTACCGGCAGAAGGACTCAAATTAATCTAATCAGATCGAATCGAAGAATTCTTTGGAGTTGGAGATGATATTCTTTTCCGAATCATAGATCGTAATTTTATTTCAAGATAGTTATACTAAAGCCAGGTATTGGCTATTGTTAAATCGAGCTATAAAACAATCAGAATTTTGTTGCAGTTGTTCCAAATTTGCCACTCAAATATTCAGCCTGGTTTGGTTTCTCCGCATTGGTAAGCTTTCTAAGAAACCAACGCGCGGATCCTCTTTCTACTCCTAAGCGTTCACGTAAAACCGTTATGGACACTACTTGTTGAAACATTTGTCTCTTCAGCAATAACATCGACAATCTGTAAAGCAATTATTTAGCTTTTTTCGCTGTCGTAGGGCGTCCGGGGTGAGGGTCATCTTTGTTGGATGTTCCTCCAAACTCAAATACAGCACACCAACAGCAAAATATGGCAGAGCGTCGTGAAATTTTCAAGACATATACTAACAACAGGTGGTTTAATTTGTTCCATTTTCATAAACATGCTTAAACAAACCGCGAACAAATTATTTTTTTTTTAAATATGAACAGTCTATCTTCTTTAGGTCTCAACTTTTTCCAGTCAGTATTTTCTTTAATATTCCAAAGAATTTTTACCGCATTCTCATTCTTTAGGTCAAAATGGTCTTAAATAAATTATCAAATTCACGTCTCAAATTTCATAGATATTCAATAAAAGCATATATTAAGTAAAAAATCATTACCATTATATATAAAATAAAAGTCTTATTTATTAACAAACTTATAATTAAAATTCACAAAATACAGTATCAATTCATTAGGGACATAATATTATAGTAGGTACAGTTAGCTATTTAATTATAAATTGAATATGTATGTACAACTAGGATATTAAAATGCTATTATTAATATGCAGTAAATAATTTAAAATATAATTAAATTAAGAGACAGAAACATTTGAATATAATTTTATATTAGCTTAAACTTGAGTGGTGTTTTATCCCTAGTGGTAGATATAGTAAAACTTGGATTTTTGTTCCTGACTATTATGAGAACTTAAAAGCACCGTCTACAAGACTTGGGTCTGATACGCGACCTGTAAATAATAACTGTCTTGTCGCTTCGTCCTGGATGAAGAACATGAAGGGTCTGTTAACCACCACCTCGTAGAAAGACTCATCTTCGCCGAACTTGTTTTCCAGCGATATTTCTGTGAAACAATACAAAAACGGCAACTTTAAGGTTATGAGCCAATAAAATTTTATGTAAATTAACATAGGTTGTAAGAAGTTGTAAGAATTCTGAAAATATCAACTTCGTCTACATGCGGTGCCTATTAGACGAGGTTCTTGTAACCGGCTGACAGATCGCTAAAAAGTAAAAACATAGCACTAAATTTTCACATAACGGTGATGTACCAGCGCGAGAGTATACCACTCGTCCATAGCAGGTAAGTATAGACAAATCTAACAACTAATCAACTAATGCATGCTGTGAGACCGCGGCCATATTCCGTCAAATCTCTAGCGGTCTCATGAGGCCGTACCCACCCACAGCACTTTAACCCATAAAAACTTACATAGAGACTACTTTTCTATGAAGAAATGTGACATTTTATAATCAATATGAAATTTTATATCCTCTAGTACAATAAAAAGTTACTTATCCTATAGATATTTATTTATAATTTACGTTTATTTCGTAAGCCATTTTCCCCATGAACGTTATTGTGTTGATTTTTGGACTTTTATAGTGTTTTATTAGTGTTTTAGTACAGTTTTATTATAAAATTGTAATGAAATTTTTTGTGTGAATATAGTTTATCTTTTTAAGTAAATAATTTCGAGTAATATATATTGAAATAATTGTGATTTTCACGCTGCCGACATTCGCATTTTTTTGTTATCAAAATACAATAAAATCTTTTTGTAATGAAGTAAAACCCGACTTTTGTTTAGATCATAGGATAGAGAATTTTGTATAGATTTTATAATGCCAAACTTCTTCATAGAAAAGTAGTCTCTAAGTATAAGTTTTAATGGTTTTAAGAGCTGTGGGTGGGTGCGGTCGCATGCAACGGCTCGGAATTTGCCAGGCGCATGGGATTGCATGGGATTTTTATTAGGATTGAAGGGTTAAAGACTTTTACCATCACAAATGAATCATCCACCACGTTCATCCATCAACCATCACGTTCACGTAAATCCATGTTCAATTTTTATAAGGGAAAGCAGCCGTCATAATAATGATGTCAAGATGACTACTCAGACAGTGATGCAGAGGTCAGCGAAATTAAAATACCAGATTCAGATTAATACTTTTTCGTTAATGGTTCTTTTATAAATAAATATTATTTCAAAAATATCTGTTTTGCTCACCCTACCTAACTGGTTTGATTTGACAGCTATGACGTCACAATACGGCGCTAGATCAGTCTTATTCTTATTTGAATCTCACCATTTAATTAGGCTTACATTTTATTATAGCTTGTATTTCGGGATGGATAAACAACTTGTCAATACGATTATATACCAACATTGATGGTATTCTAATCATTGAAATTTTATCAGTGTTATTTGACTTACAATTTAAACCTTAACGGTTAACAACTATTTATAGTCTGCGAAGAGTTGAAGGGCTTATCATCATTGTCATCATCAGTCTATAGAAGACTGGACATGGGCCTCTCCAGTGTGTCTCCTCTTATAATCGTGATACTTAGCAGGTGGACTGACGGTTGAGACCATGAAAATCGTAAGATAATAAATGCAGATGGCTACGCTTTGCCTCACAATAAAAGGCCCTCGTTCCATATAGGTCGTATAGTGGATAGCAACAACGATGACAATGATAAAACAAACATTTAACTAGATATTTACCTGTAGCCGAGTAAGCTATACTTCCAAGTTCATTTACTTCTATGCCAGATCGTTGCAACACCTTCGACACCTTTAGCCGTTGGGACAGTAGTTGCCCACGAGAGATACCAGGGAACGAAGCCGTGTCTTCGAACGCTTCTCGAATACCCAACTGTATATAAAACAATGATGAGCCATATCCAATAGATAAAAAGTTATAATAAATACTTAATACATAAATATCTAACTTAAAATTAAGATAGAAAGATACTACATGATAGTCATATGAGAGAAATAAATAATTAGTTTACGATATTTGAACGCCAATCTGTGTTAATGTGTTTTCAATTATTTATTAAAGAATGAGGATGACAAACGAACACACAGTCCACCTGATGGTAATTGGTTGCTGTGGCCTTATCTATCCTCGATAACGGATCAAAATGCAGATGCGATTTCACCCGTGAGGAATAAGATGGAATGCCTCGTTTTCAGTAAAAAGTGGTGGTGCTCTACACTCACCATACGAAACACAGCAGCATTAAGCTACTATTTTACGCTGGTATTCTGTGACAGCATACTCCTTCCCAGGTTGAGCCGCCCATTCGTGCGACAACCATAGTATAGCTACAGCATGGCTCTACCATCTCTTTCAATTTCTCATCTATTTCAATCCAACAAGAAAAACAATATGGCTGCTATAATCTGGTAAAGTTTTTTTTTAACTTTCTTGTAAACTTTCTGTATTTGCCCAAATATTTTAAAAGAAAATTTAACCAGCTCACCTCTTTTAGCACGCCGTCTAAAATTGAAGTGTAGTCGAATTTGAACTTTGGCAGGGTCAAATCTACCAAGTGCCGTTGCAAATGGTGTAGCTCACTGCGAAGGTCACTTAGGTTGTTGTATACGCGCGGCAACCCGGTTAAGGAGTTCGGAACTACAATATACATTGCAAATTTGTCACCCTGAAAATAATTACATTTTATTCAACGAAATACAGCACTAAAATTATAATTATCAATTTCATAGATGCCGAATTTCAACACAGACTTCTGAAATTAAAAAAAAATATTTTTAAAGAAGAACATATTAATAAAAAAAATTGGTTCCAAATGTGTTAAATTAAAAAAGCCGGTCCTTAAGCAACTCGTGAATTGGCAGTTACTCTCGGGGCCTGGAGTGAATTGTTAACCAGTGGATTATCTTCTGTGGGGTCCACCCATTAATTCAGGCCTTCTTCTGGAGCAGTCATATCCTGATTGGTTCGTTGTATTCTTTGTTGAGGTTGCCATTGGATTATGATGATGCTATTTTAGTAATACGCTATGCCGGAGTTATTATTACAGTAATTAAATATAGATATTACATTACATTAAATTAACTATAATATTACAGTAATTAATTAAATTTCAATCACACACACGAACACACGCAATCGCATGCACACTCATGCGCACTCACACACACACACACACACACACACACACACACACACACACACACACACACACACCAACACACACTCATACGCACGCACGCACGCACGCACGCACGCCGCGCACACAATAGAGAGAGAGACAGACACACAGATTTTAAAATTGCTTTATTTACATAAAATAACTGACTTTCGTAATACAGGTTTTCTAACCTAGCTCGGGAGTCAGAGGTTTAAAAAAATATTGTAACAAATTATATGTCAATAAAGATTATAATTACTATTATTATTACAGATTGATAACAAATATTGATAATATTGAAGTTAGTTACTGTTCGAGGACCTATTTTACGAAACTCCACGTACCTAACATACTACCCATAAGTGCGTATTTTGCACTTGGATAGTAATGCCATGAAGGCTCGAATTATCACAATATTCTTATCTCCCCGAAGAAGTTCAACAGTCTTTCCTTTGTCGGCAACAGTGCCGCCATTTCCTCATGCCATGTCATGCCCTACACAGGGGCCTATCTGTAACACTTGTAGTAATTAAATGTTTGTCAAAATAGCCACGTCCTGCAATACATGTACACTTGTAGCTATCCTGATCTGTGGCTTTTTCAATCTCATTAAGATCTAGGTAACAAGCTGTTTATTTCTGACAGGGCCTTGCTTGCCTACAGTCTACTAGATTTTTCCAAAGCTGAGCGTGTTGATTAGCAAAGTTTTAAGTACCAGTGAACGAACGTTACCAAAACTTTCTTCATTATGAAGTTAATCTATCAGAGCCGATCCTCTCCTCGTCAGTTCGTCTGCTGCATCGTTGCCCATGGATCCACTGTGTCCCTTGATTCATTGCAGAGACACATCGTTGTGTTTCCATACCTCAGTTAGTCGTTGATGGCACTCATATATTAGTCCCGAGTTCACCACATTGCAACTCAGAGCATGTAGTACCGCCATGTTGTCGGTCAGTATTCTGATGGAGAAGTCTTTTACCTTCCTGGCATCGATTGCTGTGGCTGCTTGGGTGATACCCATATATTCTGCCTGAAAAACTATGTTGCAGGTACCCAGCGGCGTATATATGTGGATATTGAGGTCTTTCAAGAAGGTTCCGGATACTGCACCTTCATTTATTTTAGGACTATCCGTGAAAATTCTAAGCTCTTTTGGGTTTAATCCCTCCAGCTGGTTAATTTCATTTAATTTTATACATTATATTTAATTATATGCATGATACAATAAAATTAAAAAATAAAATGTTATCGTACTTGGCTTGTAAGATAGGAATTTTGGTGTAAATTCTATCGATTATACCATTATGAGAGACTCTATTCCTACTCCAAAGATTTAGGGTATTGGGTCTAACGGCAGCTAAAGACGCTTCTTATTGTATATGTAGGTGACGCGTTGCAAACTCCAGCAAAGCCTCTAAAGCTGCTGTTGGTGTAGTGCTTGCAGCCTGAGGCTACATTCCTTTTGGTCCACTATACAAGAGCGCCGTATGTGATCATGGGTAATATTGAAATTATCTAGTCTTAGCTATTCATTAGTGCCCACAAAACATAAATTGTTCAAACCGATGGCGGTGTGTCTTTCCCAGCGTTGTCGTGTTGGAAGAAGTGGTGTGGGATTGGCTTTGACTTCGAGACATAAATAAAAAAAAAATTAATTTTTATCAGTGTAAAGAGCTATGCATTAAGAGAATTAGGCCATATTTTATCCGAAAAACTGGAATATTTAAAAAAAACGAATACTTTTATAGAAATACATAATTTAATTATTTTACAACTAAATAACGCCACAATGATAGATCCCTTCTAGGCGAGACTGGGCAGGCCGCTAGTTAAACATACAACATGACCGAAATTATTGCTTTAAATATATTAATTTCATGGATAACTTTTCAACCATTAAATTAATTAATCGATTACCAACCTACATAATTAATGCAAATAGTATTTAATTTCGACTATACTATACTTGATAGGGCTTCTAAAATATACAAATAATACATCTACTGCATTAAACGCAACTGGCATTTATTGGTCTATTGTTAAATTGCAGTTTAATATAAGAGTTATCTTTAGATAAGAGTGCCAGTTTTCAAAATGTGAGGAATTCCACCTGATTTCTAAAAGTTGACAATGCACTTGTAGCATTTTGTACTTGGATTTTGGTTTAAGTGAAAGGCTTGAAATATCCCGATCAGATGGATTCTTTCGATTGTTTTCTTCATATATTCACACTCTCGCACACACATTTCACATACTACTCACACAGTCACACACACAATCGCGCGCGCGTGTGCGCATGCACTCATAAATTCTCGCACCCACATGTATATCTACTTATTTAAAATCTCAGTGATTATTGGTAATAAGTGTCCTGTTGACCTGTAACTCAGATTTACCTTAGGCACCAGCAATCCAAAATCATATTTGTTATAGCTATTAAGTTTTAGTTTTAAGATATTTTTATAGTTTAGTAATGAGACATAAACAAATTTTCAAATTTAATTGTTATCTAGTTCGACGTTTTAATAAATAAAAAGATAAGAATTGAGAAGATAAGAATGAAAACACAGTACTAACATATTTGGATTCCTAACCAATTTAAAAACGTTTATTGCTACAAGAGATACGATAACGGTATTTTAATGCTATCGTAATAACAATTGGTATCAGCCTCTATATTCAATTTATTATTATAAAAGTGGTGTAGAATATAGACGCAAGCCAAATTTAAAAAAATATTTTGCCTTTTAAGATATTGATCACAATAAAAACAGACTGCGACATATTCAGTACGCGGGAATTAGCTCTGCTCTGAGTGAGTATGGACAAATCTTTAAAATAAGGCATGTTGGCTGACGTATTCTTGAAAGTACCAATGACGGTCTTTAAAAAGCTGATGAAAGTTGATGTTGAATATGAAAACATTCTGAAACATCAAATGCATAGGACAATTCTAATTATTTTAGACTAACAACACGTTCAATCTCCGTGTACGAAATGACTAAATTAACTAAGTCAAGTAAAAACAAAACTTTTACAGACTACTCAATCCAAAACTAACAAAGGGTTCTATGCCCTAGTACCACAAATGTGTGATACCTGTAATTCACTCTGTGGTGTGTTGCCTACTGTCGATATTTTTCATGATACTTTCCCTAAATATAGGAAAAATGTAATAGATCACACAAATTATAAATGATTTGTGAATGATTAAATTATAATTTAATATCCATGTTCCTTACAGCCGCCGCTTGGCTATACGCATGGTTTTATTGTCTTAGTTACATATTATCTTTAGATATTATTTTTGCGACATATAAGCTAGCTATTTTTATATTTTGTAATGCTGAGTCACCTATAAGGATGCACACATCAGTCCCTAGATTAAAACCTATTTTCAATAAAAATGTAGTAATGTGTGATGGTGCCCTATGAATAAATAAACTTAACAATAAATATTACACCACCATCGTATCTGATACAGCACATATTGCTATAGAATGACAATTATTGTTACAAAAAATATTAAAAATGAATTTACCAAATACGGCATTCTTAAAATTTTCGCGTCGAACTTGGATGACTCGGCGTAATAAAACTTGTTTTTGACATTCATAAACTGAACCTCCTTGGAGATTTTTGATGAGACGTAGAACGAGGACGGTCTGGTTGCATTAGGAACGAACTGGTGTCGCCAAGTACCCTTGAAGTAAAGAGTCGTGAGCACTAACATCGCAACTTCTGCGACGTCATCTAAAAAAGAAAGCAATTTCGATTATAAACCGATTTAAATTTTTACAAATATACTTCGCTACAGGTTTTAAATTGAATACTGACTATCACTAACGACATATTGGAAAGTATTCGTAGCGTAGATGATGGTGATAATCTTAACCACAGAATGAATAATATAGTCTTAACATACAAATTTTCTCATTTATAATAAAAATCAGAAATCATATACTTATACACTTGTACTGTGTCTATGAATAAGAAATAGATAGATTGCGTGAAACGGCAGTTACAAAAAAATACCATAAAAATTTTATAAAGCTGAAGGTATTCCGGGTTTGACAATGACATCGGGACCTCAGTCATCTTAGTCCCCCGTGATTATGGGTGCTGGAAGAATTAGTAATTAGTAGGAGAGCCAGAATCAATACTTTCTCTAGCCAAATCAATTTTTCGATAGTACAAAACATAAAAAACCTCAGACTGGTAACGTGAAACGTGTTTAATACACGTTATCATATGGTCCAAAATGGCGCCTAAAATCCATTGAAACAAAGCTGAAAGGAGCTTATTTCCGTTTATGAACTTAACGTGGACGCCAAGAGACAAATTATTTTTTTTATATTAACAGAAAAAATTAAGGTATTGAATAAACAAGATAGCTATTTGCATTTAGAATCTCTTTGTAATATACATATAATATGCACCACTTTCTAATATAGCACGTATCAAAAAACATTAATAGACAACATATTATAATCCTATGTTGTTCTGTGGATATCGCTGGACTAGAGGAAGAAAAAGGAGATAAGGATTATTTTCTACCAATTTTCTTCCGGATAGATGTATGTCTAAGTACGCGCAGTCTCCACCTATTTCTAACTTTTACATTGCACTTAATATTAAGTTATAAATTAAAGGTTTAAATTAAGCACTTTTTTAGAAGTAATGACACACCTGCATTTACTAAATTCGGTATCCGTCCTAGAGTTATGTTAGAGACCCATCCGTTAATAGAACTTGCCGCTTCCACGGGATTGCCGAAATCTATCTTCATTAACTCAGTCTTATAGTAATTCTCAGCGATCGCAGCGAAGCGTTGACGAGGTTCACCGTTTTCTCCAACGTAGATTCTGCTACCCAAGTTGAGTATATACTTCGAAGATTTTGACTATAAAAATATTATACATAGTTAACAACTTTTTACCAAGACGAAAGAAATTCTTTCGAGGCATTTTTTATAAAAGGCGAATTCACGTGATGGATGGATTGTACGAAGTGCGTTTCGAATGGCAATAAATTGATTATTTTTATTATCAACTCTAAGTAATATCAGACCTAATATCAGATTCCATAAAATGGATATATGATACAGAAAACTCCTGGAAATTCGCACATTGGTGGACCACCACAGAGTTTGTGGATGTAATTTAGAATTTGTCGCAAGACTATGCTAAAGACACAAATACCTCATTTCCATCGATATATCACCAGTATGCCATCTAGTATATGCCATAAATAAAATACCTAAACCAGTAACGGAGAGGTAGGCCTGTCTATAACAATCTCATCTCAGTTTGTAAAAAAATTGTCAGATAAACTCGAACATAAGGCACACCTGAAAGTTTAGTCCCCTTGGCCGCTCTTAAATGTTTGAATTTCGAATGTTATAATTTAAAATAAAATTGTCAGGAAGTCGTGTGTCTATTTCTTATTACATTATATATACTGAGTATTTTTTATAACAAGTTAGTTCGTCACCCGTAGCAAAAATTAAATTAACGCTCTTTCTCCTTAAGATTGCACTGAATGCTGTGCTTCAAGATTCTTTTAAAAGGAAAACACTTTATTTGAGCACCGTAAGGCATTGGCATAGCTCTTGCAATTCACGATTGCAGTCGACCTTTGAATGTAGTTCGACATATGCATGCACTGTATGACAGAAGATGTGGTTACTGTCAGATGTCTAATTGAAGAAAAGAATACTGGCGCATCACCTATGAGGAGATTCAAGGACATTTGGGTGTTAGTATGTAAAAGAAATTACATCAACAACAACAAACAATTGCTCAATTCACTCAGAGAAAAAAATTACACCATCTGAACAGGAAAGGTTAAATAAACTGCTAATGAAATTGTTCATGTTAGATTTTCAACATTTTAGCATTGCGGAAGACAAGGGCTTTGTTGAATTCGTTCATGGTTTAAATCCCATTTACCAACTATCTAGTCGTAAGTACCTTTTTTAAACACTTTACTGCCATCAATGTACGAGCAAGTTTTGAATGAAACTAAAATAAAAATTACTGAAGAAGCAACAAGTGTATGCCTTACTACCGACTGCTGGACATCAAAAGCAAATGAGTCTAAACTACATTTTGAAGTCGCTTCTCCTGCAGTGTGAAGTACTCCATGGACATCATACCGCCATAAACTTAGCAGGTCACTTAAGGACATGTGCATCGACTTGGAACATTACAAGCAAAATAACCATTGTTGTGTCTGACAACGCGAGTAATATAGTTTCCGCTATCACGAGTGAGCTGAATTGGGGCCATTTTGGATGTTATGCACATTGTTTAAATTTAATTGTCAAGAGTGGATTAAACGTTGAAAATTTGCAACAGACGATCATCAAAGTGAAGACCATTGTAGCTTTTTACAAACGTAGCGCTTTGGCCACAGAAAAGTTTGTAAAATATCAAGTACAACAATCAGAGGCGAAAACAGCAAAAAAACTTACTCAATCTGTGGAAACTCGGTGGATCTCTGAATTCCATATGCTGCAGTGGTTTGCTGAACTTAGGGAGGCTGTAACTGCAACACTTCCACTCAGCAACTTCAAAGGTACATATCTCGAAGAAAATGATTGGATAATTATTCAAGATTTGCAGTGCGTGCTTAAACCCTTCGATGAAGTGTCTACGCGCATGAGTGGAGAAAAATATTTCACGGGTGGAGAAGTGATTCCAATTACGCAGGTCCTTTTGGGAACACTAGATACATTGGAATTAAGAGATGGCCTGCATGATGTTGTCAAAGTGGTTTTGAAAAGGCTAAAAAAGGAAACTTCTGAAAGATTTCGTAATCTGGAATTTAGTAGAACGCTCTCGTTATCGACCTTTTTAGATCCCCGATTTAAAATTTTCATGTTCCCACACCGTCAGGCTGAAGAAACAAAAGAAATTGTTATAGAATTGGTGGCTGAGACAATTGCAAAGGCAAAACAACCAACAACTCCAGCACTAGCTACGACACAAAACACAAGAGATACTAAACCATCCATATGGAATATATATAGGACAGCTATTGTCAAATAGAGCCTAAAGGATCCCCGTTGTCAAGAGCGATTGCGGAGGTTCAAAGGTACCTGGACGACGACATCCTTCTAATGGGATCAGAACATGACACTCCACTTCAATGGCGGAAAAATCATGAGTTAGTTTAAAAGTCAGATAAATAAAACACAACTTTCATTAATTAAACGCTTATTATTTTCAAGTAGGTATTTAGCAAATAATCATTTTCATGTAGGTACCTAGAAACTAATCATTGTCGTTTCGTGTAATTTGCATTCCTCTTCTCACCATATTTAATTGCCACGGCACCGAACCCTCGCGTGAAACAAAATATTGTTTGAACTTTTCTCTAATGCTGTAAGCATATTGCGTGTGGTTCCTTCTAAGACCATCCAATGTATTTAATGATCGTTGTGTAGTAGGTTCTGTAGATATTTCGTCTTGCAACTCAAAAGTTGTGCCCAAATAGTTATGAAGGCAGCGTGCTGCTAGAACTACTTTGTCTATCATTTCTGGTTGTACCTGAAGAGGCCCTTGAAATACCCGCCATCTTGCTCTTAATATCCCAAATGCGTTTTCTACAATTCTTCGGGCCCGGGACAGTCGATAATTGAAAATTTTATTGGATTCATTATTAAGCAAAGCATTTTTGCTGTAAGGTCTAAGTAAACAATGTTTAAGCGGAAATGCTTCATCACCAACTATAACATACGGTAATGATTCAGATCCTGGCATATGAGGTTGATCTTCCGGTATGTTTAATTTCTTTTGATCTAATACTTTGCCTAGTGTCGATTTGCCAAGTGTAGATTTTTTAAAAATACCTCCGTCACTGTTTCTTACATAGGAGCCCACGTCTACTACTATAAATTTGTAATTGGCATCTACCAAAGCCAAGAGCACTATGGAATTTTGACCTTTGTAGTTCCAATAATCTGAGCCATCATTAATTAGACACTTCATGTTTATGTGTTTTCCATCCAGAACGCTAATGCAATTTGGAAAAAGTTCCAAAAGCGTTTGAAATCAGTATCACTTCTGTTGGTTGCGGCAAAACACAATAGGACCAAGATGTGTCCAAATCGCTTCACAAACCTCCTTCACTATTGTTCGTATAGTAGAAAATCCAATGCGAGAACTAAATCCGATACTTCGAAATGAATTACCCGAAGCCAGGAATCTGTAACATTTAATACGAGTTCTTAAAAATTTGGAATACAGGATTTAATCCTTATTATTTTTGCAGTTGACGAGTGCAACAAAGAAAATTGGAATAAGTTGCGTAATTGCTATAATAATGCTATGAAACGGTGCCAAAAGAAAAGTGGCTAAGCTGGAAAAAAATTGCGCCTTGGCGGTTTAAAGAACAAATGTCATTTTTGAAGCCATATTTGGAGGACCGTCCTACTACAGGAAATCATGATGCTGGTGTGTCTAATGAAAATTCTCCTCTTCCATCCCCGGAAAGTCCATACGCTGAAAGCCAACCATCCCCTGTAAGCATACCATCCCGCACCAATACTCCTACGTCGAATACATCATACAAAAGAAAGGCAAGTCCCAGTACTGATAATTACTTGACTGATATGATGGATATGATGAAAAGCTCCCAAGAAAATAGAAATAAAAAGCAGAAACTGGATGATCTAGATACATTATTTTTAAGCATGAGTAAAACTATGAAAAAAACTCCCAAGACTGGATCAAATTCGAATTAAAATGGATTTGCTTAAAGCTATAAATGAAGCAGAGATCAAACAACTTGAGTCACAACAAAATGTTTTGAGACCACCAATTGCTATTAGAAGTGACAGAAGCAGCCTAAACCGCTATAATGTAAATTCTACTTCTGGGAGTTTGGTACAACCCCACATTTCATATTCTTCCCCATCTTATATACTTGAACTGCCCCATACCCAAGTTTCATCAGAAGCGGCTAATGATGATGAAGAAACTGGTGAGGTCGAAAATATTCACTGTTATTACGAAAATATCAATATGTAGGTAATAAAAACATTCTTAACCATTATTATTTGTATTATTTTCTATAGTACCTAGCATAGTTATCTCTGCAATAGAAAAACAGATAAAACATACCGTAGACAAACTGCTAGCCGTTCTCTGGTACTAATTGGCTTCCGAAGACGTGTATGTTCTTTTTTTATGTCACATTCAATAATGATCTGATATGAATCTCCTAAAACTGTACTTTAGACATACGGCAGTACGTAAAGAATCGGTCTTCATCACATACCATTTTCTTTAATAATGTATGGTATTCACCTACATTTTCTCTTTCTTTATTTATCTCATGAACCCAATATCTTCTCTTCTTAACTGTTTTTTTTTTGTTCTTTTGGCGCGGAAATATACATTTAAAAATAACAAACGTAATAAATCGTCCTCAAATTCACTGTCAGACTCGGAAAACATTGTACACCTGAAGAAATTACAACAGCGTCTGATGCAAATATACGTCGTATACGTGGGACAAGTGTGCACACCAAGTCACCCACGTTGCGTTGCATACGTTGCGTACGTGGGCTCAGTTTGTCCCTACCTTTATGCTTCGGCGCATACCACGAATAAAATACAAAGTAATTTTTGGCTTCTAAAAGGCTCGTAACCCATCCCGGACACTGTCCAGACGTCGCACCATGCAGTTTCTTTATTTTCCCAAAAATCAAAGATTTGATGAGAAGTTCGACATTTACGGAGCTAGAAGAGACCGTGATGGTTCTTCACTAGCACGTGGAAAACATGCCCAAAAACAAATAGACCTTATATTATCAATAATTGATCGAACGAAGGAAAAAGTTTTTAAAATGTAATGGTAAAAACTACGAACTGCAGTAAATACATTAGTTTACATATAAATTGTTTTATTCCTAAGTTACGCAAAACATTCAGTGTGCCCTACGTATGTATACGCATTTACATGAACATGTACCAGAACTAAGGAAGTTACATCCGCTTGCGAAATAATAATGTTAATTGATTGGAAAATAAAGCCAAAATAGTTTGTATTTATTTGGGTTACTAAGTTTAGAATTAAAATTGTATATAAAGCCGTGGTAGCGCAGATGGTTAGCGCTCGCTGTAAATTTTTCAGTACGCGAGAAACCGGATTCGATCCCCGCTGGCACCAATAAAATTGTTAATTGCAAATTAAAGTGCGGATTCACCACGTGCTAGAAATAAGAAAAACAATATTTCGAAGACATGTGAAGTTCGCCAACACGCAATGGGGCAGCGTAGCGGACAATTCCTTGCCCTAAAACCCCATCAGAAATGAGCGGACGTAGGTATATGGGCTGTAACTTTAACTTTCAACTTTGAAAAAATACGTGATAACACTTTGTATAACATTTTAGTGGCTATAAATTTTATAGAGGTTTTTCTTCAAGTGACATAAACGGGTAATTCGTCAAGTGCGCAGGGCCAAATATGTTTTGGTGCTGTAACCCAATTGAAAATTTGGTAACATACACATACATACAACGTACTTTTAAATAATAAAAGATTACCACGTTGTGGCAGGTAAGAATGCAACCCCCTAAATTGTTTCTCAAACATTCTGATATTGCAAAAACGAATATAAGGGAGAAAAACTAAATAACACAGTTAATTTGAAAACCTTTTTTTTTTTCTTTTTTTCTGGTTTATTGTCGTTATTTGTGGTACCCAGGTCTCTGTTAATGTTACACTCAATTCTCTTATTCTCTCTCTGTTTATCACACTCTCTCTTCCTAATTCTCATTTTATGCGATTAAAAACATTATGTATTTTCAATTTACTAACCTGTAATGAGTCCAATATACCGGCAAACTTTTTCCTAACCAAAACTCTGTCCAGGTCGAAACCAAGCACGGAAGATAGCTCAGCACGGGTTGCTCCTGTTGCTGCTTCTGTCAGGATAGCCAGAGCTAACTTCAGCCCCAATGGCGACAGCAAGAAGTTCTCCTCTGACGATGCCGCTACACGCTGAAAATACGAATTAAACGGCTTCGTAACTATTTGTTTCTCGAATAAGAATTTCCTTTTTAATAAAATCGATATTTAACTAATAAATTTTAGGGTTATCTCAACATAATAAACCTAATATATAATAAATGTATCGTCATTATCAATCTATTGCTACACGTAATGACCCAAATTAGAGGGATTAGTGTACGCTTGGCATGCAAACAAGGATCTACATTCCGCACATCAATAGTAAAACGTTTCGGTTCTAAGCTTCTAAGACACTTTTAACTTTTAGTTCTGTTGTTTAAAGGCATTTTTAGGACAACCGGTATCTTTTGAACATTACTTAAATATATGTGTGATTTAAGATTCCTAGCATTTGTCCCTCCGCCGATTTTTTGTTCGAAAACCTAGCACATAAACCAATTTAATAAAAAAATATTTTTTATTTTTATTGACATAATTGACATAATAGTCATGATAGATTAGACTTAAATAGATTTTTATAAATATTAATTACAGAGGAAATCATTAAAATAATAAATAAATAAAATTAAAATAAAACAATCGAAAAAATTTTAAATTGGGATTGAGTGTGATTCTGTTATTTTTTTGCGCTGGTATTTTCTGTAAAATTATGTAACGATGACATCAGACAAGCCGGCTTGTAATCTAGGGATAGACCATTACTTATCATCAGATTGAATTGTAGTCAGGCACTGGTATACTTAGTAAATTGAGGGTGGGGGCAACCATTTAGAAAAAAGGAGATACAAAGAAAAAACTGGAATGAAATTATGAAAATATTACAAATAAATGAAAAAATATATATATTCATTCGATATTTTTTTAAAATTAATAATATTATTTAAAAATTTTATTTTGTACCTTTTTTTTAATTTACACAATGTGAATAGACGATATAATATATACCTTTGTAAGAGTCCAGTCAAATTTATCGTAGTCAGCTGCAGCTGGGTAATACGTGTCCATGGATTCGAAATATTCTGGATCCACTAAGGTGTTGTTTGCTGGTGTGATGGCTGCAACCTGGACCGCCTGTGGTGGCGCTTGGTATGTGGCATCGCCGAAGATTTCGCGAATGATGTCCGCATTCAAATCGGATACAATTTTGTCACATTGTATAAAGGGCACTGAAACAATACATTTAAATTTGATTGTTAACGCATAATTGACGGATCATCCGACCGATTATTGAATATGTTGTTATAGCGTTTTGAGTTATTTCAGAAAATCAACTTTTTATGATACACACCTCATGAGTATCTTGGGTCATGCAATATGAAAAGGAAAACATATACATAGGACATACTTTGAGCTGAACTCTAACCACCAACCAAAGTTATCCCATATAAGAGTAAGTAGTAGTATTACATATTCAAAACAGTTTATGTAATTTAGATATTACAAACATTGCATATTTTACAACATATCCTTTAAACATTTTATATTAAAGACTAATAAACTAATAATAGAAAGAAAATAGAATAACATTTAATTATTATTATTTAATATAGATTACAAGAATATTTATTCAAAGTCATTTATGCTTTTGCCTTCTGCTTCGGAAAAAACTTCTAGCCATGTAGGAAACTCAGTAGAACGTTTTTTTTAAATATTAATTTTCGAAATTATATGTAGTACAAAACATTTAGAAACAGCATGGTAGTGATCATCTCATTACCAGTGTTGATCACCAATTTTTTTAAATAGTTAATGAGAGTATTTTAGGTGGTAGAGCCATGCTGTGACTATATTACTGGTATCAATAGTTGTAGCACGAATGGGTCAGCTCGACCGGGAAGGACCACGCTCTCACAGAATACCAGCGTCAAATAGCATCTTAACGCTGCTGTGTTTCGTTTGGTGAGTGTTCAGAACCGGAGACCCTTTTTACTGAAAACGAGGCAATCAACAAAGAAAGACAACGCATCTGCATTTTGATTCGTTATCGAAAATAGATGTAGCTGTCTATGGACCACAGCAACTACTTACCATCAGGTGGACTGTGTGCTCATTTGCCACCCTTGCTCTATAAAAAAAATATAACCTTAATTCCGAAGGAGTCTTTGAGACAAATGTTTAAAGAAATTAATTATAAACTTTGGTCTTGAGAGACTATACTGAGGTATATTTACGGAAACTGTATATGTACACAAAAACAAAATTACAAGCTAATGGGTAAAACATGGTAATTAAAAATTAGACTACGCAAAAAGGTTTATTAAAAGGAGAAAAAATGTATATCCTGTATCACTTAGACAAATAACGGATAGAATGATACGGCTTTTGTTCAAATCCGTTAAGTGGCTTGGGCTACAAATACAAATCATGGCAAAGAAATGACATATTTTTTTTAATAGAAGAGAGGCAAACGATCATGCGGCTCACATGTTAACTGTAGATATATAACTGCAACACAAAGGGGATCGCAGGCGCTTTGTCAGCCATACTTTACTAGCCATACATAATATTACAGAAATACATATGCAGTCGGAGAAGAATAGTGATCTAAATTCTGTAAATACTAGAAATAAGCACACGCTATAATACCAGTCACTCGACTTTAAAAGTCAGTAATTCCTTCACGTGGCACTGTATATTATACTTTTTCAACAAAGCTCCAGAAAATATATAGGGCCTGTCAATCAAAAAGTTTGATATTTTAATTAAGCCAAAACTATCAAGTGTTATTATAATAAACAATAATGACTAATAATAAACCCTGGAAATGAGGTGATGGTACCATGGATTTCTAATGTAACTTGCAACGTATATTCGGCTATTATTCGGTATTTGGCCTATTAGGCTACTTTTATCCCTCCCCCCCAAACGGATTCCCGTCTTGTCATGGCGGGGGGCTTAGTAGCCGTGGCTTGGTCACCCGCGTTGAACAAAGAGGAACCCACATGGCTGGCCTGAGGTGTAAGGCCAGTCCGAGGTGGCTACTCCGAGTGGGGTTAGCGAGCCAACTTCGGATGTATGCTGGTGGGCTGTGGCGATAGGGGTGTCCCCTCCCCCTACCACTGCAGCCGCGATGGAGTCGCGGAGGAAATAGAGGAGAAGAGGAGTGTTGGTATGGCGATGCGCTCACGATGATTCGCCCTATCCTCCGCGACTCAAACGGGGCCGCACCATTGATACGGTGGTGGTGTGGCTGCGGAGGGAGAGGAGTGTCGGTACCAGATTCGCCGCTGGGGTCGGGAAGGCTAGTGTTTCTGAGTGCTCGGTTTTCCTGACCCCATGGCATTCTCGCATCGGACACGTAAGCGCATGTGTAGTTGGAGGTCGTAGAGGAAGGCGCGCCATGTGTTATTGTGCGCCTTACCTGGGAAGCAAAAAGGGAGGAGTAGTCCTCTCCCGAGGTAACGCCGCCATGGGGCGACCGGCGCTGTTGGGGCCGCGGATGTGTGCGAAAGCGTTCCCGTGGCCCTGCCAATATGCGACGAAGATGGAACACCATGGGGTTTTTGTCGATGCGAGTCCGACATAACCTGTCTTAGCCCCCGCGAGGCGGGTATGCGTAGGCATTTCCCCATATAAAAAAAGCTACTTTTATCCTATTCGATCGTACTCCGAATATCTAGGTGCTATTCGGCCGAGTACCGAATACTTAAGTAAAATATTTTGTAGTAGTATTGATAAATGAAAATATTGTCTTAATTTGTAATTATTGTATTTTTCTTGCAATTATTAATCATAGTTACATAATAAACTACCATATTATAAAAACTAACAAAAAAATATGAAATAAATGTATATGCACTTCATTTATCGTAGGTAATAAATATTTTAAAGTACAAGATTATAATAAAGCAGATACACAAATATTTCTGCATTTTCATGCAGTAGTTTTTTACTCTTTTGCTTCTCATAGCCAATTTCAATTTCAGAGAAAAGACGCTAAGAATAAACACTACTTCCTTCCCGGCTGAATACTTTAGCCTAATATTCAGCTATTCGGCCAGGAAGCCTGCAAAATATTCGATATTCGGTGTGTGGCCGAATATACTATTCGTTGCAACTTGCAAGTCTATCTAGTCTACATTGTAAATTATTATTTGAAAAAAAAGGTTTCTTGCTGGTTCTTCCCAGGGCGTAAGTTTTATTTCCAAACCAAAAGTGATAAAAGCATGACTTTTCAAATGTATATTGACTTGTAATCTACGTTGAATGAAAATCATTATATTCTATACTAAGTTTTGCGTGGGCTTCAATTTAGAAACATCTTTAATAATACTCAGTGCCAAATTAACAAAATTGGATCAGTTGTGGAGTCACTTTGGTATCTGTGTCTATATTGGACGTAAATGATTGAAATGTGGCAACATAATGTGCTAAAGAAACACATTCGTGAGTTTATCAGAATTGCATTAATAGCATACGTCTAGCAACACCTTTTTATATCAGGCGACATGCCTGATATAAAAAGGTGTTCTTGCGATGCGATGTGTCTATACGAAGGGTAAATTAACCTGTAATTAGAAATGTGTAATTTACATTTATTCATACTTAAAGATGATAAATTAACCTGTAGTTAGAAATGTGTAATTTACATTTTGTAAGATGGTAAATTAACCTGTAATTAGAAATGTGTAATTTACAATTATTCATACTTAAAGATGGTAGTTTTGACAAAATAATGTTAAATATCATTTCTTTCTAATACACGGCATAGTGTTTATTTGTGATATTTAGCCATTTGTCCCCATCCAATATTGATTGGCACCATAAGTAGATGCCGGTATTTTTTGATGAATTCAAAATTTCATAATGTAATTCTATTCACGATGAATGTGTGAGAGGAACTATATTCATGAAAGGGAGTAGAAATATACAGAATATGGGCAGCAGCGTTATTCTGATTACAGCTCGAAATAATAAAAAGATGCCGTTGGCAACTCGCCTATCAAACGTATCAACAACGGCAAATATACAACTTATTTACCAAGCTATAAGGGTTATCGAAATGATGAACGGGAGTAGAAATATATTAGCGATGTAGAGGTGGTGGAATAAAAACTAATACCCCATTTCGTCTCGTGGGTGACGTAAGAGGCAACAGAGGGTTATTAAAAGGGGGGCAGCATCTTCCAGATAACAGCGCAAAGTAATAAAAAGCTGCGGTTATCATCCCGCTTGACCAGCGTGGCTACTACTGCAAATATCCGGATTATTTGACAAACAATGGGGGAAGCCTATGATCAGCGGTGAATAGTCCTATTAAAAGTAAAAAAGTAGCAGCCTATATACATTCCACTACTGAGCACAGGCCGCAGCGAGTTTTAGGACATAAAAGAGTTGATTGAGTTAACTCCAAAACAGGATGACCGACGATATAAATTTTAACTTCTCAGATATACAGGTTTCCTCGCGATATTTTCCTTCACCGCCAAGGAGCCTGTTCATTTACTCATGTCTACCATGAAACCCGGACTGTCACAAAAATCTTAATAGGTAGGTATTTCTAAAAATATTTTAATACATAACAAACCGTTTTATAAGTCTCATTAAAAGTAAAAAAAGTAAAGAAGCAGCTTACAACATACGTCTTATGACTGTGCACAGGGCTGTTAATTACCCATGTGCAAAATAGCGGTTTTAACATGTTCACTATTTTTTGTAAACTACTTATACCTACATCAACGTTTCGCCGCGCAATTATTCTTTACCACTTCACTAAGTTTATATATATTTATCATAATTGTCACTTTTACGGTTTTGCTTTATATAAATCATCCCGACAGGGGTCACCGGTCTAAATATTATAAGTCTGACAATTTTTGATGCTACAAGAATAAGTATTCAATAGAATTATCAAGAAAGTCGTGACAAAATTTGTTTCAGCCATTTCAGAGATTATTCCGGCTAATCAAACAGAAAAACAGACACAAAAATTTTAAAAGTTGTTTTTTGTTTTAATAATATTTCATATAGCTGTGCCGCGCGGTTTCACCCGCGTATATCACGTGTCTGCGCCGTGTGATATGACACCTTGCTCATTTAGTTCAATCATTTTAGCTAAAAAATTGGCAAAACTAAAGTTAAATTTTATCCTCTCTCTCTCCCCTGTCTAAAGTAAAGAATGGACTATGCTCTTTAAAAAGAGGTACAAATTCTTTCTTAACTCTCA